AAAGGAAACATTTTAAGAAAATGTAACCTGGAACTCTTTATGTCATAAAGAAAAGTTACAGGATTTACTTTATATTTAGAACCAGGAAGGTACAAAATGTTTTCAAAAATTGCAATTTTTTTCTGAGACATTTGCAAATGTTCTGCAAAATGAGGAGGCAGAAGCGTAACAAAAGTCACTGTAATCACAAGCCTGATACTTTATTATGCAAAGTGGCTGTGCACACTTAATGGATGCAAATAACTGTTATTACAGTGACTTATCAAGACAGGAACTATTTTCTTTTAAGTAAATTTTGCCTTACAGTCTTTGTATAATCCCTCCTTGCTTACCTGTTTTTTAGTTATCACAATCTTTCTTATTCACAGACTCATCTAGTCCTTATAAATTTCACTTCCGAATAATAAAATATTCATTTATTCTTGTGACAAATAATTACAGGTTGTTTTTCTGTCAAAATTTTAAAAAAATCCACTTCATGGATTTATCAGGTCCAATAGTAGTTTATCTATATAAAAGTCATATGTGTTTGTGTGTTGGTCTGTATGAAATTGTATATGTGTTTGTTGTATGTATGCGTTCATATGTGTGCACATGTGTGTTTATAAGTGGATGTGTGGAGTCCAGATGTCTCCTGAAGTGTTTCCTTGATTGGTCCCTAACTCAACACTTGAGACACGGTTTCACATCCATCCTCAAGTTCACAGATTTGAACATATTGAGTCACTAGTGACCTTGAGGCTTCTGCTTTTCTCTGGCCCCCAACACAGGGATTTATAAGCAGATAGCACCATGTATGATATTTTACAAGGGTGCTTGGGATTCAAAACCAGGTCATCACATCTGTGCAACAGCCATTTTACAATCTGAAATACAATAATATTTTCTTTCTTTTTGTTCAAATGTGTGGGAGGAGGGAGTGTGTATTTCTTGGTTGTAAAGAATTGATATTTGCAGTGGGGAAGTTTTAATAAGGAAGATATTTATAAAAATAGTAATTAATCAGTAGATCACCTACCATTTATATTTTGAGATATAATTCCTTTTCTTCATTCATTAGACAAAACTACAGATGATAAAATAGATTGCAGTACAACAGCAAACATGACTGTAATACATCCAAAATTCATTTTAGTGTCTATTCACAGACATGCAAGAACTGAACTTAATATGCTTATTAATTTTGTCTATTATTTGAAATTTATTATCTAACCCTTTTCTCTTGTAATCCATGTTAACTTCTGTCAACAGTGTAATCTTCCTCTTTTAGTCCTAGACTGCACTTCACTAATTTTCTCAGTTCACTAATTCTTCACTAATTTCTTCGCTAATTTTCTCAGCCTCAATATACATGCACATTCTTAGTAAAAACCTCTCCAATGGTATTAGTACTGGCTTCTTTTGTACTCATATATCTCAATGCAATGATCATTAACCTAAAAATAATTAGCTAATCTAAAAATGTAATTAAGTTAACAGAAATTTTAATATATTTGAATTAAATCTCTATAGTTTCAAATTGTTTAAGAATAGAGGAAGGAGTAGAATATCTGAAATTTCAGTGGGCACAGAGGAAACTTCTCCAACTAACCTAAATAATGAAGCTTAGATGTAAAAGTTAAAGAATTCATTGAATACAGTTCAAACTTAAAGAACTCATAAGTACATTTTAAAATTCATAACTAGACAAAATTAAAGTAAGCAAAAATGTTTTCATTGTGTTCCCATATTCTGACATCTTTGTTCCAAATAGATTGGTCAATTCTTTCTTCTTTCAGAACAGCCAACGTTGAAGTTTTCATTTTTGCAAATTTCTCAGCATCAGAAAAGCAGAATCCTTTCAAGCAACGGATATCTCTCAGTAAATGTATCTAAAGTAAAGACATTTGACTATTTGATTATTATGAATGTATCTAAAGTAAAGACATATTTGATTATACAAGAAATAACTTTAAGCATGATCAATAAAATTTAAACTCATAACAAGGGATTAAATAAACAATAAAATAGCAAGTATATCTTTATATCTGTATTCCAATTTTCTCTGTTTATGCCTATTTCTATATATGCACTAAATCAAATTTCTGTGACAGTGCTTATTTTCACCCTGCCACATTTTCTGCAATAGGAAAACCCATTCACAGTTATCTTTTTGCTCGAGATTTGGGGTTGAAGTGCTACAACATCCATTTTAGGGTTTTTAGAATTTGTTCCACTAGAAATTGAAAGTAATTTCTTCATTTTTTTTCTGCACATCGTCGACACAAAATATTCAGTTCTTCAGAGTCTTACCATTTGAAGGGCAGACTCAATTGTCATTGTGTTCCTGATTGCCATCACTTTATTTCTATTGTGAGATGATATGGGCATGTCACTTAACATTGGGAGAAAACAAACTCAGTCACAAAGGTTATTCCAAATGGTCAGGCTTTGCTAGCAATTGTTCTTGTGTATGCATTTTAACATGTGAGGGGCACATTACTGTTTAAAATAATGTTCTGGATACAATAGGGTATATAGAGAAAACCACTTAAGACGCAAATCAAGAATATATAAATGCTACTATAAAGATAAAATGCTAGTATGCTGTTATATTTAGGTGGATAAAATATTTCTATGCATATTCTGCTTCCCAAAATTTTTAAATATTAATTGTGTAAATGGAAACTGAGTCTATATGAATTAACACCTTTTCAAATGAATTTACATCTTTCTGCATGACATTTACTTGTCATTCCTAGTGATTGTATTTTTGGTTTATGTTAGTATTAAAAATAATTTTCCCATGTGTATAGGAAAAAAAGTCCACAAGAACCTAATTAATTATTTCAAATCATCTAGATAAAAAAGTCATATTAATTTAAATAATTCACCATAGTTGACTTTAAATTTGAAAATATGGACTAAAACAAGAATTGGGTTTTATTCCCTTAAAAATAAGCTATAAGTTTTATCTGTGTTATTAAGACCTAAATAAAATTTTACTTTTTTGGTTCTAGTTTTCAATGTAATTAGGTTTGCGTGCCTCTTTTTCTAATCTTTCTAATTAAATATAATACCACTGTCTTTGAAACAAAGTGCTTATTTGATAATCTACACACACATATACATATACACATGTGTGCATGCATATATACAAGGAATATATGTAAAAGCACATAATAATTTTAACAATTTTATTTCCACTGCTAAATATTGTCAACATTATAGCCTAGTTAATAAAACAACAATGAAAAACTCAAGGGTACTTATATCAAGCATTTAAAAGTATTTTAACAATTAGTCATGCTTAGATACAATTCAAAGAGCCACTGAATTAAACACCATTAACGAGGAGCAAGCCAGCACTACAAATATGGAAAATAGCCATAAAAATATACTGAAGCATTTTATGTCCTAACAGATACTCCATATTTCATTTATCCCTTATGTGAATGTTCATCTTACTAACATATATAAATACTTAATGTTGTCAACAAAAATGAGTGGAATATCTAAAAGTTATAACCAAAACTTTATTTGGCACTTTATTTTTTTTTAAAGTTAATATTTATTGTCCTTCAAACCCTGTGTATGTTTTAGAGGTTTGTGAGAACGATGGAACATTACTTAGCTTGCAAACGCACATTGTAATACATTCGAAGCTCCGTCCAGAGACTGCCACACCATATGGAGCAATTATTGAAATACTAACATGTGTGTCAAACACGCCCATGGCAGCTTCCTCTCCAAACTCAACATGCCCTTCCATATGAAACCTTTCATTATAATTTATGGCTGCTGTGAATATCGAACATTTCTTCATTTCTGAGATTTACGTATTTATTTGTACTATATGTGAGCATTTGCCTGCATGTCTGTATATACACCATGTACATGCGGCGCAGCTCAGCCACACCAGAAGAGAACTTCTACTTTGAAGCATTACAGATTGTTGTAAACTGTCATGTGGATGCTGGGCTCTGAACCTGGGTCCTCTGCAAGAGCATAAAATGCTCTTATATGCTGAGCCATCTCTCTAGAACCACAGTGAAGATTTCTACTGTTTATATCCAAGCTGAAGCCTCTGCTTCCAGATGTAGCATTGACTTTCCCTACAATGAGTCTCTCTACAGTCTTTCTTCTGCTCACTGGAGGGATTTTGAGATGTCCTTACTCAAGTCCATTACAGATAACTCTCACAAAGTCCACTTGCAAGGTGAATTTTGCGGCTATCCACATGTCTAACAGAGAGAGCCCAGTGATTGTACTATATCTGTAAAGCTCACCTCGGATTTCATTGGGTATATAAAACATTCTGACAAAGTTTCCCAAATATATCTGCCTTATAAAATGTCAATGGAATATATTTAAGTCTACCTTCAAAGACAACCTGCAGCTTAGATTGCCAGAAGACTCTTTAAGCAGAGTTAAATCAAACACTTTGACGTAATGCTTCTTTGAACTTGTAATACTCTTTTGTAGCACATAATGAGAAAAGGAAACATTTCCCACTTGATTTTTTTGTTGGTACATTTTTAACCTCTTTATACCTCATAAATCCTACAAGGCAGAAAATAACTTTGATATTTTTCTCACCTTGTATTACAAACAAAGTAAAAAAAAATGGCTTTAGTATTTTCTATCCAAGTTTGAAAATCTTCAAATTAAATGTGGCTTGATTTTTTTTTTAACACTTGAGCAGGAAAGCAACTGGATTACAGATAAAACTGTCCATTTTAAAAATTGCAATTGACAAGGAGCTTGATTTAATTGTTTCATATATCCATCATAAGACATAATAGCACTTTTTATTCTGTAAATCCATAAACATGTACAATTACAAATTAACAGTTCAGAAGGGAAATTATTTAAAAAGGCATTAATACACATATTATTTTCTTCTCAAGAGTAATGTATAATGTAAATAAATCCGAGAAAATCATGGCTTTGTTTTAAACAATCTAAATCCCAAACAGAGCAAGTAAAAACAAGAAATAAAATCAAATTAATGACTAATCTAGGCAAAGAGTACTTTAATACTAGGCATTAATCTTTCATTATAAGCAATAATTATATTTAAATAAAATATGTATTAAAATTATTTCATATTCAAAATATGTCTCACAGAAGTATTAAGTTTCAATATTAATAGAATACAAGCAAAACTAAAAAAGTAAAGTAAAAATATATGCTATAATTTCAGTGTGTTATACTTGACAATCAATTTTTATGTCCATTTAGATAAATTAACCTGAATACTTCTGCCTTACTCTTGTATGAAAGCCCTAGTCTTATAACAGCATGATTCAGATTTTGACCAAAAGACTCTTTTCTTTTAAATTTAAACTTCATATTACTGGAATATATCTGAGTCTATTGGACTAAGCCATACATTTGTGATTTTTATCTATTAGTGGAATTTACAAGTAAAGGTATGCAACCCAATAAACCAGATTGAACAAGGCAAAAGCTGTTGGGAAAAAGATTCTCGAGTAGGAATCAATTTTGGCTATGCGTATGTGTATCCGTCCTTCCCTCCAGGACCCTGTCCTGCAGTCTTCGAAGCAGCAGAAAAAGCTAGCACAATCTTTGCCCTCCAAACATTGGTAGCCGTAATCATCTTCTCCTTGAGGCAGAGAAATGTTATTCATGGGAATCAGAGTGGATCCAGCATGGAGACCTGGGGATACCTAAGAAAATGATAAATGAGACTTTGAGACCAAAAAAGAGGACCAAAGAAAATAAATTTATCCCTGCCAGGGAGGCACTAGAAAACTGAAAACCAATAAAAAAAATAGTGTGATTTCCAAATATTGATTATTTTCAACTGTAATGTATTTTTAGATTTTACATTACTGGCATAATTAACTTTTCTTCTCTTCCAAAAGGTATGTAAAGAAAAAAATAACTTTAGAAATAAAACTCATTATATGCCTCTAGAAAGTTAATCTATGAAGATATTGTCAACCATTAATCTAAACATGAAATGACAATAAACTTTATGTTTCTATGGTGTTGAACACATATAATCATAATGTCACAAATGTTTTTTATACTGAATGTTATATAATTCACTTAGTTACAATGAGAATCAATAATGGAAAGAGATACTCTGATGTTGAAAAGAGTTGGAAATGCCAGAAAGGACAGAAAAAATATGACATATATAGGAGTGAGTGAGTGCAAAGAGCCATGGTATAAAAATTTAAAAACACAGTTTCAGAACCAATAGATGTGAAAAACTAGGCTTATTTGAGAAGTGCAGCAATTCTCTCTGCGTGCAGCATATGAGCACCTATGTAAATTTTTAACATATTATAGAAAAATCAAGCTCATTTTGATGGTATCTATAATTTCTATTTTACCAGGATTATTTGAGATAAATACCAAACTAAAATCTCATAATAGGTTCTGAGTAAAAGTTTTATTTTAATATATGTCTTTGTGCATTTATTTATGTGTACATCTGTAAGAGCGAACATTCTGTTACAGGACACATGTAATAATTTTAAGACATGATACTGAACTCAGATTGCCAGTCTCTGTAGCATCTCTCTTTAGCTTCCGAGAAACCATACTGACTCAGGATCTGAATAATGAACTGTAGTCAAAACAATATTGGAAAATCTCATAGTACTGGCAAGATTCAAAAACTGTGCAACATAAACCAAGCACTTAGAGTCAGATCCACTTGGGAGAGATGTTTCCCATGAAACAGTGCTTGTGTGAACTTGAACAGAAAATGTGGCTGCTCTTCTGTCTTTGAGATGCCTGTATTGCAAAGGTGGCTATTGTCATCCTACAGACCAGACTGATGATTAAACGGGGCATGTATAGCAAGAAGACAGCACTGACTACTGCCGTTGCTTTTCTGTTGATATTGCTCTCTGAAGAGGTAGTGTCACAGTATACTACACAACTCATGGCAAAGCACTAGCAAGAAGAGTAGTTACTAGAAAAAAAAATGAATCACTCAAAACAGCCAAAGGACTGCCATTTAGTCATCCTTGATACTTCAGAACTTCTGAAAGTCTTCATTTAGCTAAGCTGTGCGTTGGAAATCTCACTATAATCATTGTTTCATTGTCATATCGGCAGCAAATTAGAACTCAAGACTATAAAAATCCTTTCTCTGAGCTTAATTCTTTCTAATATAGATGTTTACCAATTTTTTCTTTATGTTAAAATTTGAAAAGCTGTATCTCTCAAACATGAAATATTTTATGGGAAATGTTTAAATATCAAACAGATAAAGGATTTCTTAAAATTTGAACTTTCATTCAAAGCTATTGGGCTTCTAAATTGTAGGAAACAAAGACTAATTAATACTTACAATCGAGCACACGCAACACATGGAAAATGGATCAGCGGATAGAGCATTGGCTCTGCAAATCCGAGCAGTCAAGCACAGATTCTCAGAACCCAAACAAAATGATGCGCAGGTGTGGTGGATGCTGGTTACAACAGACCTCAGGAGCCAAAAGACAGAGGCTCTCATCGCAAACCAGCTACCTCTACTAGCCTACTCCGTGAGCCTTGGGTTCAGTGAGAGACCACATCTTAATAAAGTGGAGGATACTAACTTCTTACCTTCTGTTCTGGAGTACTTGTGAAAGTTAGGAAACTAAAAATGGTCCAGAGAAAGGGATTCAGTGAGGAGAGAGGGGGCAATGAGAGTAACCTGAAAATGAAGGTAGAGAGGAGGGGGAGTAGAGGCACAAAGATCCAGACTGGTTATAAAACGATGGAGATTGTGGAACAAGGGTTGACAGAAGGGGTTAATAAAATGAATTGTAGACATTTTGTAATGTAAACATATAGATGTGAACATATGATCTTGCCACCAAAGTAAAATTTATGAAAGCAGGATAGAACACAGATGATATGAAATACAGGGTCTGGACAATATTAGGGGCTAAATAAAGGTTTATGCTAGAATTAAGGCAGGAGATGGGAACAGAATTAGGAGAGAAAATTTTTGGGAGGCGTAGGATAAAATTATAGAAGAGGGAATGGGTATCTACTTGATCAAAATATAAGCAAGCATACATGAAATTTCCAAACAAGAATAAAAGAATTAATGACTACTTTTATAGAATAAAATAGATATTTTCATAATAAATAACCAAGAAAAGACTTTAAAATGCCTCAGTATTTAAGAGTACATAAGTCATATGGCTTTTTCAGAGGAGCTGAGTTTGAGTCCTAGCACCCACTTTGAATGGTCCACAAATGCCTGTAATTATAGTTCCAGAGGATTCACTGTTCTCTTTTGAACTCTAAGGTCCCCTGTACTCATATACACATCCATGCACAGTCAAAGAAGATAAAATAAATATTTGCAAAAATTAATAAAATTCACATCAATAAAAAGTAACAATATCAGGTAAAAAGATAGACAATAAACTGGTCTTATTTATTATTTTACATTATAAAACTTGATAAAATTTAGAGGTAATAAGAAACAAAAGTGACACTAGAATTGTTCATAACCATGAATTTAAATTTAACCTATAGGAGATAAGATATATATATATATTTTATATAAAATATTTTTTATATATACATGATAAAAAGAAAAGAAAATGGCAAAAGTTACCTTTCATATAAAATAATTACTCTCCCTTTTTTATTATTGATGCTTTGAAATAATCTATACAAATATTATAAACAAGTGAAAGTATCCATCAGATGAAAACCACAAAAAATATTTTAATTCTGAAATCTATGACCGAGAGTTATAGGCAGTGCCTTCATTCCTCATATAAAAATTATTTGTTTATATGATTCATTTTCCATTTGATTCAAATTCATTCAAATACCGCTATTCATACAAATTTAGATTTTTAATGAGAGTTTTATGCAGCGATCAATCCATTTATCGAGTCTGTGAAGAGTAATGTGAAAGGCTGCTATTATGATGTCAGAATGGAAAGCAAACTGTGAGCGGGGCCCAGTTGCACGTAGAAACACGTCACCTGACTGCCGTTGCAATCGACATCTAATGATTACTGTCTCCTAAAATATCCCACCGTAGCTGACATTTTATAATTAATTAAGCAGACCTTTTTTGTTGTATTTCTCATATTACCAATATCACAAAAAGACCTCCTGGGAGCTTTGCCAAACACCATTTAAGAAGAAAAAAATCTTTTATGATTTGTGAAATTGCAGATTGACTCAGGTGTTTGTAATTTCATTACATCCTCTGAAGGGTAGATGGATGTTGATTCATGTAGACATGTACCAGCTGGAAAAGATGTTAGCCTTTTATAGAAAAGAGTCTGTGAATTGAGGAGTTGGGAGACCCTTTCACACGCTGTCTTCCCTTGAGGGTCTGGTTCTTATTTTCAGTAATACATTGCTTCTTAAGCTATTCAGTGGTCTCCAAATTGAGGTGCCACCTCATCCGCAACTTAAGAATACACACTGTGTACTTACCTCCAGTTATCTTTACAGCACATAGATGAAACTTTGCCATTCTGTTTCAAAGTTTCTCTGGCACACCAGAGTGAAAAGAGCAATGTCTTAACATGACATTGGAAATCCACAAGCTGCCTACAAACACTGTTCTGTCTTCCACATGGATGATTTTGTCCCTAAAGCTTCTGTGCTGTATAAGCCGGTGGTGTCCAATGGAACTGCGAAAATACCCCATATTGACGATGCCCAGGATGAAAGTCACATGTGACTATTAGGCACGTGGTGTAATGATGCTATGGAGATAGATGGTACATTTGGAACTCTGTTCAGTTTGTATCAGTTTGGACACACCTAATCAGTTTATAATAGCTACCATATTAGAAATTATACAACTGAGCAGAAGTTTATCTTGCCCCCATTCCAATCTACAAGCCTCAACTAAGGTCATGTGATTTTTCTCGGTTTTAATTCCTCCAAATTTATTCTTCCGCCACTTCAGCTTATTCTTCAGATGACTGCTTCAACAGTGCTGCACTGCCTCTGAAGTTTCTCCCTGCCAGATTTCCTTTCGACTGAGTGTAAATGTTTTATAAATGAATTCTTCTCACTTGAAATGAAAGAAAAACTTTCTGAGTGCCATGTGACCCACATTCTCATGACCTTCTTTGCAATGCTATGTGTCTATGAATCTATACCACATAGACCATATTTCACAGTGCCTTCTGCAATTCTTGGATGCTAGGTATAGCCAGTGTGGTCACAGATTTATTGTGGTTGTCTGTTTCGGTAATTGCAGCTCTTGTGCTCTTTTAAAAATGACTTCACCTTCTTGGTATTTTTTTTAGTGAAATACCTTGCTTTTAAAAAAGTTTTAGAAACTACCATTATCATTGATAATTTTTCTCATAGTCTATATAATTACTTTGGGTTTGCAAATTATTTTCTATTTTTATGTGTATATATGCATGTGTTTATACATGGGTGTACATGAGTGCATAAATGAATTCACACGCATAATGTACATCCTCAATTGGCAAAAGAGGAAAGGTGAAAAATTTGGAGACTATTGTAATAGCTCGAGAAAATGTGCTATTGAAAATAGGAACTGAAACCAAGTGAAGATAGCATGTGGATGTCCTCCTAACCCTCTAAATCATGGTCTGCATTCTTTTAAAAGCTGATGTTTGTGTCTAAGGGAGTGAGAGGTCACTCTTGAGTGCTAAACATGAAGTTTCTACATGTTTCTTTTTTAAACAGCATCTTCCAC